ATGAGTACTGGATGCTGTAGTGATATCAGCAAGTCTCACCTGGTCTAGGGATACAAGGGAGATTTCTCTGAGAAAGTTACGTCTATTGCACCTGAGGGGTAGATGCTAGTAAGCCAGGTGAGTGGGATAAGAGGGAAAAAATTCCTAGGGAAAGGAATACCAAATGTAAAAGGCAGAACAGTGAAAGTTCTCCCTTGAAATCCAGCATTGCTGGAGAATGAAAAGCAAGAGTCACTGTGTGACCGAATGAGACTGTGGAGACAGGGAAGATCCTGCTTGCCTTTGAAAGAAGTTTAGAAACCCCATGAGAAGTGCACATACAGTGTCCAAACATTAGTGCAAATGTATACCTTGGAGCTGCTTGGCAAGGAACACAGTGCCAGACAGAAGAGACCTCCATTTGAGTGATGGTGAAGGTGGTCCAGGAGACTTCCAAAATAACACAGGCTATTGCCAAACCTCTTGATTATCTCCCAGAACTAGTAGATAAGACCATACTGCTGAAGACAGGGCATACTTTAGGATACAGGACTTGAAGCAATGGAGCAGGAACTGACCGGGAAACCTTCTAACTGAAGTTTGGGTATCATAATGCTAGATGATGATATGCAAAATGCCAAGGGAAGAAAACAATCAATGGTCCAACCCAGCCCTAAAGTCTAATAAAGATAGCAACTAACATGGCAAACTACTCTATTAGTACAATAGTGGCACTGTTATCTGGGGGGCAATCAACAGCTATCTAATTGGACTTAAAACCCTCTCAATGGGAGGTAACTCATGGGTGGCACTGTAAACTCAGTCAAATACACATGGCAGGAGAGGACATAGATCCTAGAGAAAACCCTATCTCTTTCATATCTCTAGACCAATGAAATTCCTTACTATATGCCAAATATCAGTATGTATATTTACAGACAAGTGTACCATACACCACTCATCAAAGAAGATTCTTTTTGCAAAAGATATAGGTTACTGCAGAATTGAACATCTGATCAGACACAGAGAACATACATCTGAGAGATGCCCAGTATTAAATGACATATCTACAGTTGAAACTCTATAACTAAGACTCATGGAACATAGTGTTAGCAAGGGGTAGAGAGAAAACTAATGCTTCCCTCAACTCTCATCAGTAAAGCTTCCTTATACAACAGAGTGCAATGCCCACAGAAGGTCACAACTGGCCATGTTTTAAAGAATAAGAGACTGCAGTGTATAGGATAGGACTCCTATAAGGGACCTCAGTCACCTACAGCTCAGGGACCATTGTGGAAGAAGTGGCAGAAAGATTGTAAGAGCCAGGGCTGGTTCATGACACAGGGAAACAGAGCCTTTCGGGCCACTGGAAGCTTGCACATATGAACTTGTGGCAATGGTGGCATCAAGCACAGGACACATGTCAACTCAATTAAACAAGGGCCCTAAGGGGAGGAAAGAAGTAGGTGGTGGGCCAGCACTAGACTGACAACTATTGGAGATTGATTGCTGCTGGATGGGGGAGAGAGTATGCCTTACATACAATCTCTAGATGGGCTAACTAGACTCCAGTTGATACATTTACACTGAAGGACATTGGGCACAAATGCCTGAATGGATAGGACTTAACATGTATGTTGGAATACAGGAGGTCTGGTGAGGGATGGGGGAAGCATGGATGGGGGAGGGGGTGTCTAAATGTGATTAAGAACTGTTGTATGAAAATTTAAAAAGGTCAATAAATATTTATATATTAAAAAAGGAAATTTATATACAGCCAGGCATGGTGGCACATGCCTTTAATCCCAGCACTTGGGAGGCAGAGACAGGCAGATCTCTGTGAGTTCAAGGCCAGCCTGGTCTACATAGTGAGTTCTAGGACAGCTGAGGCTACAGGGAGACCCTGTCTCAAAAAAGACCAAAAAAAAGGAAATTTAGCCTTTATCTTTTTTTGTGTGTTTGTGGGATATTTGCATTCTTTTAGTGGCAATCTGTACCGTCCTGAACATTTGGGCCCTCAACTAAATCTTTTTTTTGTTAATTATTTATTTAATAACCACATATTTAGAAGAAGCATTTCATTACAACAGCACTGACATATTCAATAACAATTTTCTGAGCTAAGATGCATCTTTTTCAGAATTGGCTGTAAATTTTTAGGTTTACAGTTGAATTATTACAGTTATACAATATTGTACTAAGTATAAACCCTATAAGACATAAAATTGAATGAGCTTTTGTAGTTTCTGATTCTTGTGTGAGACTCAAGCCTTCA